CCCTCTCCAGCTCCGCAGCCCCTTCGGCTTCTCTCCTCCTCCTCCTCCTCCTCTTCCTCCTTCCTTCCTCGTCCTCGTCGTCGTCGTCGTCTTCTTCTTCCTCGGCGTCCCCTTCCCCCAGCTCGCTGGGGTTGTAGTTCTTCTCAGACTCCAGGTAGGAGGCGCGGGGGTCGAAGTCAGCAGCCATGTGCTTCTCCATCTGGTCCGGGTTCTGGGCCTTCATGATGAGCTTGTAGGTCTTCCCGTGGTACTTGGAGAGGAGGTGGCACCACGTGGCCCCCATCAAGGGTAAGGTGGCCAGCACCAGCAAGAAGATGCTCACCACCACGATGATGATGAGAGAAGGGATCTCTTTTTTGGTGGTGAACACCACTTGGACCTGGCAGTCCTCCCCCAGGTAGGTGAGACACACCGAGTAGTTGGTGCCTGGGTTCAAGCCCTGGAACCAGTACGAGTTCACCCCTTCCTCGATCTTGGACCACTGGACCAAGGCGTGGCCCTGGCTGCTCTCCTGGCACAGGTAGAGCATCCTGAGGTGGAGCTTCTCGGGCTGCAGGTAGGTAGGTGTGAGCTGCACCCGGGCATCGCGCTCCGACACGTCCAAGGCGATCACCCCCAGGTCAAACGTGTGCTGCTTGAAGTCCCCGCTCTGGTTGAAGGCGTGGTTAGAGATGTACTTGCTGCTTGGCCTGGAGCCACACTTCTTCTCAAAGGGAGGGAGCTGGAAAGGGACTTGCTCACCTCCTGCGGACTCCGTCCCCGTGGCTGAGGGTGGTTGGCTCTGCCGGGTGGGGCCCAGGAGCTTGTTCCTCTCATCTGGCATGAGCACGCTGTTCTTGGCTCCCTTGGCCCCAGGCTTCTTGTCACCTGGCTGTGCTTTGCCCCCCAGTGGGTCCCTCCCAGGCTGCAGTGGGTATTTCTGGGCGCCCGCCACGGCCACGTTGACCGAGGTCTGGTTGCTGCCCATTTCGTTGGTGGCCAGGCAGGAGTAGGTGCCTTCTTCCCTCTTGCTGAGGTGGGGAATCACTAACGTGCCGTTCTTGAAGACCAAGAAGCGCTCGGGGTCCTGTCTGGGGGGGTCTTTCCCAGTGGTCTCCTTCGGGTTCCCGTCGAGCTCCAGGGTCTGGCTGGAGGTGCGGATCTTCCAGCTCACCTGGGGGGTGGGAGTACCCGTCACAGCACAGTGCAGCGTCAGGGTGAAGCCATCAAAGAGCTCCGTGGTGTCCAGGTTGGGGTAGTAGGTGAGCTGCACGGTAGGTGAGGTGCACTGCACATCTGGGACCTTCCCCACCGGCACCCCTCGGAGCTGCTCCGGGAGGGCACAGGTGATGGAGTCCTTCTCAGGGATGGAGATGAGGGTGCTGTCCATCCACTTCTTCAACCACTGGAGCTTGCAGGAACAGTCAAAGGGGTTGTTGTAGATCTGCAGGTGGGAGAGGGAACTCAGCGAGTCGAAGATCCCCTCTGCAAGGGAGGTGAACTTGTTGTTGTTGATGCGGAGGGAGCGGAGGTCCTTCAGGGTGTGGAAAGCTCCCTGAGGCACCAGGGCCATGTGGTTATTGTTCATCTTGAGCAGCTGGAGAGCGCTGAGGTTGTAGAGGTCCTGCCAGGGGAAGTCCACAATCTGGTTGTGGCTGATGTCCAGGTTCTTCAGCTGCACCAGGATGGCGAAGGCGCCGGGCTCGATGGAGCGGATCTCGTTGTGTGCCAACCAGAGGGAAGTGACCTGGGTCACCTCCACGAAGGAACGCTGCTGCAACGAGCTGATCTTGTTGGCCGAGAGGCTGAGGGTGGTCACGTTGGAGGGCAACCCCGTGGGCACCTCTTGGAGGTCCTTGTAGGCGCAGTCGGCGAACTGGTGGGCGTACTTGTCCACGCAGGCGCAGGGCTCAGGGCACGCCCGGGCCAGGCCCAGCAGGGCCACCAGCCACAGGGGCAGCAGCGGGGCCATCTCCCCCTGCCAGGGGACACAGGGAGCTGTCAGGGCTCCTGCTCCAGGTTCCCACCCCAAGAGGTGGCAGCAGGGCTGTGCCCCCTTGTCTGTGCCTGCCCCCCCCCCCCACCCGCCCCCCCCCCCCTCCCACTCCCCT